CGGCGTCCTTGATCCACGGCCTCCCGGGTGGCGAGCGACGAGATGAGGGTGTCCTTGTCCATCATGTCCAACAGCTCAAGGCGGTGGTGGAGAGCGGTGCCGCCACCGGGTGGCGACGGCGGTTTTTGTTGCTCATCCATGAACCGCACTCCATCGCCGCGTGTGCGGCCGTGAACCCTCGTGTCCTCTCGTCCCAACTCCTTGACGGCTCGTTTCGAAAGCGGCGGGTGCGGAGGAGCGGGGACGGCGGCGCTGGCGGGCTTCGGCGGCGGCGGCGGTAGGCCCGGGGGCGAACGGGGCGGAGTGGCTGCGGTCGACGGCGGGGCTGAGGATGGTGCGACGGAGATCGGCGACGGCGCTGAAGATCCTGTGAAGATCGACGGGGGAGGGGGCGGCGCTGCGGTGGTCGCTGGTGCAGGGGGGTAGTACGTCCATGTCCGCGGGGGCGGCGGCTGTGCGGCATCGGCCGCAGGTACGGCGGCGGCCGGCGAGGGCGCCGCGGTGACCGAAGAACCCCCCCCGATGGCCGGCACCGGCGCCGGCGCTCCTGCCCGGCGGTTGACCCACACGACGTTGTTGGTGAGGGCGAGGCGACCGGTGTCAGCGCGAAGAACGACGGCGGTAGACGTCGAGTGGTTGTTGGCGCCGTGCAGGTAGAAGCACCTCGCGGATTGGACGTCCGCCTTGGTGGCCCGCTTCACGCGCATCCTACCCTCCTGGAAAAAGGGGACGACGGTGAGGGGCGGCTTCCGGCCGAAGAAGGCCTCGAACGGCGACATCCAGCCCTGATTGGCCTTCGTCGCGGAGCGGTTGAAACAACCGGATGCCCAGAGCGCCGACGAGAGCCACAGGCGTTGTCCGTTGGCGCCGATGTTGGGGACGGAGGCGAGGTCGACGTGGGCCATGGAGAGGATGTGGCGTCGCGCGGCGTGGCCCCCCTTCATCGCACGCCAGATGGCGCTCTCGGCGACGGCGTTTTGTTTGGGGGTGTTCGGCGCGGTGTACTCGCGCCGGATGCCGGCGGCGTCGCAGAACTCGATGAAAGCGGCGCCGGTGAACTCGCCGCCGTTGTCCATGCGGAAACATCCCGGAGTGCCCATGCCGTTCATGTCGGCCAAGAAGCGCTTCACGTACTTCAGGGTGTCGCTCTTCGCCCGCATCCCGTACGCCCGTTGCCACCGCGATGCGCTGTCCACGAACATGATCAGGTACCGGGAGCCGTCCATCGCCTCGGTGAACGGGCCCGTGAGATCGATGTGGACCTTGCCGAACGGCACCGCAGCGCGTGTCCCACGCCGCGGCACCGGGGCCCTCCTGCCCTTCGCCTCCACACAGCCCACACATGGCTGCAGCTCCCCGACCAGCCGAACACCCTGCTGCTTGGCAGTCTCACGCATCAAAAATTCGTTCACGTGGCCGGTGGAAGCGTGGAACAGATTAATATCGATGGTGGGCGTGGATTTTCCTACCGAAAAGGGGGAAGCACCGGGGGCGATAATCGCCAACGCGTGGGAAAGAGACGGAGGGGCTACGGCCTGCTGCTCATTGCACTCGGAAAGAAAACCTCTCAACACCTCCAAATCATCATGCTGCACAGTGAAAGCCAAGGGAGGGGGCTCCGCAGACGCAGAGAATTCATGCGCATCCGGAAAAAAATCACCCGGGGGGACCGTGTCTTTGCCATCCATCAACCCAACATCTAGGAACATGCTCATGTCCATGATCGGTAATTCGTCCTGAGAGACAAGGGGGTTGATCTCGATCTCGCGATAGTCTGTCAGCTCTACGGCAGGGGGAGGCACAACCGAAGACGATTCTACGGCAGCAGTAATCACAGGCTGAAAATCAGGGATCGTCGTGGGGATTGGGTCTACTTCGACAGACGGAAAAGCACAAATCGGTAGCACTACACCGGAAGTGGTGGAGGGGACGCTGGGAGTCGAAGGTACTACACCGTCGGAGCCGGTGGGCTGGACACCAGGAGTCGAAGGTACAACGCCGGCCGTTGCGACGGACTGGAAGCCAGAACTCGCAGGTACAACGCCGACCGCAGCGACGGACTGGAAGCCGGTACTCGCACTCGCACTCGAAGTCGCGCCCGCTCCTGCACTCTGTGGGAAAGGGGGGTTTGCCGCAACAAGGCCGGTGCCAACACCAGGCGGGGACGCTTGGGCAGAAACACGGGGGGGGGCATCGGGGCTGTAGGTCACAGCACTACCAGTATAATCCTGGGGCAATCGGGTAGCCCAGAGCGAGCATCCTACGTCAGAGTATTCAAAGGAAAGCCTACCATCGAATAGGTGGACGCCGGTCTCGTCTAGAACGATACGCTGCCTACGCTGCGTGTGGTGCAGCGAAAAAAGATTGAAGGTGATTCCAGGCACAACGTACACGTCCGACATCTGCACACAAAAATCATGCTCCCCTGACTGGTCTTGCATGTGAAAGGCCATGTTGACCTTCCCCACACACTGCACGCGCAAATAAGCACCGTTTCCAACCTGGATGTATTCTTTGCCTGTCGGCACTGGTCTCAAGTCGAACATTTGGTGGCTACTGCTTACAAAAGTGTTTGTCGCACCGCTGTCGGCCCAAAACTTCTCTCTACCAAAATGGGAAAGCGGGTTCTGCGCAGACAAAGCAAATCCATTACCACTCTCACGCTCGGTACTCGCTACAACACCACTCGGAACAATCTCGCCTGCAGACACGAAACGTGCCATCAAGAAGTGGAGGGAGCCCGGGGCCGGTGCTGCTGCTCCGGGAGGAGAGGAGTGGGGCGGGGCATGAGTCGAGTGCTGCTGCTGCTGGAACGTCGGCGGAGGCGGAGGCTGTGGCGGCGGCTGCTGCTGCTCGTAGTAAGGCGTCGGTGGCGGGTAGTACGGCTGCTGCTGCTGGGTGTAGTCAGGCGGAGGCTGCTGGTACTGTGGCTGCGGCTGCTCCCAACCCCCATACTCGCTACTATTTGCGGGCCCCCCGTAGGGCGGTGCACCGTGTTCGTGGTGCATCACGTTTGCATGCCCGTGCGAGGGTCGCCATTGCTGCTGCTGCGGGCGAGGGGGGACAGAGTTTCCATACCTTTGCTGCGCTCCGCGTCCGCCATGAGGTCCGTGCTGGGGTCCACCACCCCAGCCCCCCCCACCGCGGCCGCCTTGTTGCTGCTGCTGCTGCTGCTGCTGTTGGGGACGAGGATGGTAGTACTGCTGTTGCTGAGGCTGCTGCGGATGCTGCTGTTGAGACTGCTGCGGATGCTGCTGTTGAGGCTGCTGCGGCTGTTGTTGTTGCTGCTGCGGCGGCTGTTGTTGTTGCTGTGATGACTGCTGCCGCCGCTGCTGCTGCCGCTGCTTTCTCTCCTTTTCCCGCTGCTGTTGGTAGCACTCCGCGTTTGTGTGGTTTGACCACGGATGAAAATGACAGCGCCTGTCTCCTCTGGTCTCGTCGCTCCTGCTCCGACCGTCGCCTTTGCCGTCCTGTCCGCCGCCGTTCCCACTCGACCCATTTGGGACACGTCCGTCGCCCCGGGGCGCACCGGAAGCGACGAAGGCGTGCCCCACGCCACTCTTTTCCTCCTCCTCCCGTGCGCGCACCAGGTCCGTGTGGGCCTCCTTCACGGAATCCTCAATCTGCTCAAAAGTCAAATCAGGGGTGCGGTCCAAAAGTTTCTTCTCTATCTTGTAGTCGGACGAGAGGGCAGACACTAGGTGGTCGTTTGCTTCGTTGTCAGGATACACTGTCCCGTGCGACGCTAGTCTACTCCGCAAAATAGAGAACCTACCGAAGTACTCTTGTGGATGTTCGTTTGCATGCATTGCGAAGCCATGGTACTCTTTCAAAAGTCTTTTCTTCTCCGCTTTCGCTTGTGGCTCGTAATATTTGAGGAAAATCCTCCAGCCACCACTCGGGCTCCCGTCCGACACGATTTCCGACAGAATCGGCATGTACGAGATTGACGTGATTAGCACATTCCATGCCACTATAGCCTTGGCTACCTTTTGTTCGCCATACTCAGTCTTCAGGTCAGTCATACTGATCCCCTGCCTCCCTACTGGGATGTCTTGGTTGCTCATCACTACTTCGTGAACATCCTCCTGCGCAAAGCGTGCTACCATGCTCGATCGAAAAATCAAAAGCTTCTGCTGCCTACTGTCCCCCGACTTAAACACACCATCCCAAGGCTCAATTCTTCTACTCTCAGTCATACGAAGAGTTGCGGGGTGAGACACTGCACCGATATCCCCTGAGGTTTGGAGGCGACCGGCCATGGCAGTCGCAATCGCGTCGGCCAGCTCGTCTGCGGAGGGGTTGGGTGTTGGGCGCCCAGGATCTTGCTGGTGTGCTGCCTCTTGTTCCTCATTTCCTCCCCGCTGCTGCTCGGCTCGATGCCGCACCTCCATCTCGGCCATCTTCTTGGCCAGTTTCTCCTCCATCAGCTGCTCCATCCGAGCTGCTACTCGCTCGTTGACCAGTTCTTCGATCCTGGCGTCCTCCGCTGCTTGGCGGGCTTCCGCTGCTGGGCGGGATTCATCTTCGCGCCTGGAGGCCATCTTGACCCTGCTGTCGATCGCCGCAAGGCGATGCTCCTAAACCAAGCTCGACCGCGAATCTCGTAGACGACGTGTCAGACGCTAGCGTGATCGATAATTCGGGTGGCTCGGTTCTTTGTGCTTGGAGCTCAAAGCGGGTGGCTCATGGCGGAGCGTGGATGGGTAGAAACGTGTGGAAAACGTATCGAAAAGGATTGTAAAAGTATTGTATTCATCGGGGGCGTGCCAGTGCTTGTCAAACCTTCACGGTATCTGGGCACGCCTTCACTCTTTGTCACTCAACGAATCTCTCTGAATCTCCACCAAATACCTCTCGCAACCAAGGAATATATGTAGAAAGTTCCTATCCCTCCGCATCTCATCACTGTTACTTTCGTACGTACGTACCGAACATCTCAACCGTCATACTATGCTACGAGTACCCCCAATATATCTAATAACAGCAGCACCGCTAGCATGTTGAAGATGGCGGAAATGTGGCCCATCAACCCGGCAACCGCATGGCGGCGGCCCATGAAGAGAGGAGGCATCATCGGCTGGGGATCCTACTTGACGTTCGCCTGGGCAGGGTCTTTCCTCAAGCTCGGCTCCACTGTCACCCTGAAGGAGGAGCACCTTGAAGGAATCTACGACAAACACGAGAGGTGGGAAGAGGGACCAAACATGCTAAACGAAAGGGTTTCTCGGCGGCTGCCGCCGCCGCGCTGGTCAAAAGAGCGCTTTCCATGATATAGCTATGTTTTTCTTGCGTAACAACATACCCAGGTGTGCTTGTGTGACATGACGCTGTGTTTTTGACGTGGGCATGTTCCAGGTGTGCTTGTGTGACATGTTGTATCCGACGCTCGCGGTGTGCGTTGACTACATAAGTTGAACAATCAGCAAAAATGAAAAGGCCACATGAATGTAATGTTTAGACTAGTCTATCCCCGATGCCAAAATGACAGCCTCGTGTGAACCACGATACTGCCGTGTGCAACCACAGAAACTAAAATTGGGTCCATTGAACCCGCCGGGATACCGAGAAACCCTAAAGACAATCTCACTGACGAAGGCAGGACTGTGGCTGCGGCTCTTTCGCCGAGATGCGTGAAGACGCAGAAACACACAACGGGGCGTTGAACGCGAACCAAAGACCATCATGCGCCTTGGTGACGCCCGACTAGAATATCCATGGCAGCGAGAGACAGAAAGAGAGGACGGCATACAGTCAAGGATCTAGACTATGTGAACAAAAAAATCCGGACACGTACAGTGTTGGGATTTGTATGCAAGAACTGACTCTATTCTACTGCATGGGT